TGGTCCCCATGACAGAGGTCACAATATGAGTGATACGGTGCTCTCCACTGACCTCGCCTCAATGTTGCCCACTTGGGCAACCCAAGTGGGGACAGATGCATTATTGCCAACCTGGCCCGGGATTTCGCGCGGACACGGGGAAAAGCCAAGATAAGAAAAAGAAAATACATAATGGTCACGTGATGAGTTACATTTTTGACGGCCAGTTTCCACTACGATGATAGACCGGCCCTACCACACGTGAACAGATGGAACAATGAATGCTAGACGTGGACTGTGACTCAGACGAGATCACCACGGGAAGATAAAAAAGCGGATGACTCATTTGTGTAATTCGTTAACAAAAGTCCCTCGGCCTTNATAATCAACATCATCACCAACATCTTCATCACCATAATCATCCGAATCTTATTCATCATCATCATCATCGTCATCATCATAATCATCATCACCCGAATCATCAACATCGTCCGAAGCAACATCATCATCATCATCATCATCATGATCATTAGAATCATCATATTCGTCATCATCATCATTATCATCACCAACATCATCGTCATCATCATCATCATCATCATCATCATCATCATCGTCATCATCGTCATGATCATCATCATCCGAAACATCATCTTCATCATCAACCTCATCAGGGGCAGCAGCAGCATCATCCGAATCACCATCATCATCATTAGCTTCATCATTTTCATCATCCGAATCATCATCTTCATCAACATCATCATCATCACCATCATCATCCGAAACTTCATCATCATCATTATCATCATCGTGATCATCATAATCATCATCAGCCGAATCATCATCATCATCGTCATCATCATCATCATCATCATCATCATCATCTTCATTCGAAACATCATGATCATCACGTACATCGTCATCATCATCATCATCGTCGTCATCATCATGATCATGTTCATCATTATCATCATCAACATCGTCATCATCATCCTCATCATCATCATCACCATCATTATCCGAAACCTCACTATCATCATCTTTAACATCATCATCATCATCATCATCATCATCATCATCATCATCATCAACTTCATCCGAGACATCATCATCTTCATCCGAAACATCATTATCATTATCAAGATCATGGTCTTCATCATCATCGTCATCATCATCATCATCATCCGAAACATGGTCCTCTTCCGAAGCATCATCATCCTCATCATCGGAATCAACATCATCCTCATCGTCATCATCATCATCATCAGCTGAAACATCATCATCATCATCATCATCAACATCATCATGCGAAACATCATCAATATCTTCATCTTCATCATCATCAACATCATAATCATCGTCATCAGCATCATCCGAAACATCATCATCATCATCATCATCATCATCATCATCAGCATCATCATCATCATCTGAAACGTCATCATCATCATCATCATCCAAAACATTATCATCAGCAGCAGCAGCAGCAACAGCAGCATCGTCAACATCATCATCATCATCGTCATCATCATGATCATCATCATCATCATCATCAACGTCATCATCATCATCATCATCATCATCATGGTCATCATCATGATCACCATCGTCATCATCATCATTCGAAACATCATCATCATCATCATCAGCATCATCATCATCATCATCATCATCATCTTCATCGTCATCAACATCGTCATCATCATCATCATCAACATCATCCAAAACATCATCATAATCATCAACGTCGTCATCATCGTCATCACCATCTTCATCATCATCAACATCATCATCATCAGCGTCATCCGAAACATCATCATCATCATCATCATCATCATCATCATCATCATCATCAACATCATCATCAGCATCGTCATCATCATCATCATCATCGTCATCATCATGATCATCATCATCATGATCATCATCAACATCATCATGATCATCATCATCATGGTCATCATCATCATCATCATCAACAGCATCATCATCAACATCATCATTATCATCATCATCATCATCCGAATCCTCACCATTATCATCATCATCATCATCATCATCATCACCATCATCATCTTCCGAGACATACTCATCATCATCCGAAACATCATCATCATCTTCATCTTCATCATCATCGTCATCATCATCATCATCATCATCATCGTCGTCATCATCATCAACATCAACCGAATAATCATCATCATTGTCATCGTCATCATCATCATCATCATCGTCATCATCATCATCCGAAACATCGTCATCATCATCATCGTCTAAAACATCATCGTCATCATCATCATCATCCGAGACGTCATCCTCTTCATCATGATCATCCAAAACATCTTCTTCATCATCATCAGCAGCAGCAGCATCGTCATCTTCATCATCATCATCGTCATCATCATGATCATGATCATCGTCATCATCATCATCATCATCATCATCATCATCATCAACATCATCATCATCATCAGCATCATCATCATCCGAAACATCACCGTCATGATCATCATCATCGTCATCATCATCATCCAAAACATCATCATCATCATCATCATCATCATCATCATCATCGTCAGCATCATCGTCATCATCATCCGAAACATCGTCATCATCCGAAACATCATCATCCTCATTATCATCATCATCATCATCATCGTCATCATCATCATCATCGTCATCCGAAACATCGTCATCATCCGAAACATCATCATCATCCGAAACATCATCATCATCATCGTCATCATCATCATCATCATCATTCTATGAAGTTATGAAGCGTCTGATAGAGATTTGAAATTTATCCTATGTATTCTTAGTTTGAGTGCCTTCAAATGATCTGAATCTTTGTTTTGTTCGGACAAAGCCAGTTGAGATTGATTCCCTCGTTCGACGAATACTTGGAAGGGCATGTCATTCAGTAGATCCATGTACCATGGATGGCGAA